ACTAGTGCATGTATACACTATATAAATATACACTATAAATAAATGACAATAGACATTTATCAAGAATTAATTATACACTTAATTAACTTCTTAAAAGAGGAAACAATTAATAACGAACAAGTTATGTTACTCTATTGCTTTTAGTTATGGAAATCCAAATCTAAACTCTTCCAATAATATCAAAATTATCGGAAAAAACTATTAATTGAAAATTTAATAAAATATTAATTATCCACAAATGAAAAAGGAAAGAATAATTTTTTTTGAGAATTTTATTCTAAATATTTACCAGCACCTCTGATTTTTCAAAGAACTTAATGTATGGGCACCTATTACAACAATACTAAAATTCAAAATGATGACTACAAGTAAACTGACCAAAGATTGATTTTGTCAAGAGGCAAATTTAGAATTTTGAGGTTTTAAGTCCAACACTAATTGATTTTCGATTAGACAAATCGATTGTGACACTAATTTGAATTTCAATTTGATTTATTTTGAGTTTCTATTCAAGTTATTCATCTTTCAATTATATTGACATACTGATTATCATAATATTTTGGGCTTCGCGTTAATTTATTTTGAGTTCCGATACAAATTTATTCATTTTTTCAATTTATATAGACAAATCACTTAAACAACATAGTTTAATAATTATGATAATTTTGAACAAAGAACGAAACAATTCAAATAGTATTTCTAATATCAAAATAAATATATCATTTATTTATAATTATCCTCAACGAGTTTTCATATTCTTAAGCTATTTTTGACACAAAAATAGTCAACTAGAACCAACACTAACTGTAAATGAATATTCAGATATTTAAAACAAAAAATTAATAAACACTATGAACTATAAATCATGAGCAAGGATTAATAAAATTTTAAAAGCCAGTAGTAATTCATAAGGAATACAAATAAACAAAGATGAGTTTGAAATGAACTTTTATATGGCCAAGAGATTGAAATGAAAATAGAATTGAGTTGAGTTACTTTATGGGATTAATGTCTTGAAATAATTATTAATTGTTTGGGATTGCACATTAATTATGCATTGTATTTTATTGGTATAGGAGTTGCATACCTATACACTATATTATATCATATATGGATCGAAGTTGTACGTATGCACAATATTATGTATGATTGGAGTGTCCCACCAATCAATAGATGGATCTCATGAGTACCCCATAAATCTCTGCTAGCTACACTATGACAACGGGTGTATACACAATATATACATTGCATCCAATCGTCCATTCATTAACTTTTGTGGATTGTTGTTGAGAGATTTTTGAATTGTGTACTTATCTAATGTTGACTTAGAATATGATATATGTAGAATTAATATTCCATATTTAATTATGATTGTCGGTCCGGATTGGTTATAGCTATTGAGTCCTTGATGATAACAAGAGGCAGATATTGTGTTGAGTATAGTACTGTTACTCTATGTCTTTTACAAAGTTGATCTAATATTTGTAAGTATTGAACAACACAATATAGAATTGATCCTGGCCATTGCTTCATTTTTGGATCAGTCAATGTTGTTGCTGAGTACAATATGTGTTTTCTCATATCCACTTTACACTTGTTGCATCTTTCATGTGCATGTTCAACTCTAAGTTCATTGGCGGTTAAATCATTATTGGACTCAAAAAGACTTGTCGGAGTTTAGAATGAGCGGTAATACTAGATTCTAGTTCTGTTTTTATACTTGCTGTTTTTTCTTCTTTCCAAATAATTTTAGTGTTCAGACCTATAGGTTTCATATCTTAGTTGCTTTTGTACTTGTGTCACCCATTCTTGAAGATTATATTTGTCGTGTTCGTGTATGTTTAAGTTATGATTCAGATTTTAGAATTTTAAATTTTTACTTAATTTTTCATATAATTTCTCATCTTAATGGTTGATAACTAGTGGAGTTCACGTATGGGAAAATGATAGGTGGCCTCACGGCCTACTGGAATTTTTTTTATCATGATAGAAGAGAGAAACAATTTGCTATAAAAGCTTAACTATAATTATATTTGAGTATATTAAAATTATAGCTATGTATAATAAGCTAGATTATTTCATTTTCCAAAAATATTGATCGTGATTTTTCTGTGAGGAGCTTACAAAGTCAGTTTTTTTTTAATTCAATATTTGATATCCATATTCGAATCTTACTAATTTGGAGGACCACGTAGAAAATGCTCCTATAAAGAATTTTTTCATATTCAAACTTGAAATCAATACCTCAATTAAAAAAGAAACAACCCTACATTCTTTTGTAGTAGTTCTCCTTATTACTATGCCATATCCCTTTAATTTACAAAGGGAAATGTGTAATATTAGGATGGGGGAAGTAAGCATGTTAACTGGGTCGGATAAATACTTACTCATACCAGACCGGGCCGGACCTTGTTCCTCAATAATGGACCGGATCAGTACCAATCGAAATTAGGTTGTTCATGGTTATGGTTAAAAAAACAAATCGAATCGCAATTCGAACCAAAGCGATTAAAAAAATTGATACTTGGTTTGATTTGGTTAGGTTTGATTTTAAATTTTAAAAATCGATACTATTTGGTTTGGTTATGGTTTTACTAAAAAATAACCAAACCGAGCCGAAAAATTAAATATATAAATTTTATAATTATTTATATATTATTCATAAATTAAATATAAATATTTTGTTAAATTTTAATTAACTTGAATCTTTAATTTTACCATTTTCTCAAGTCCAACACTTAAATTTTAGCCCAACTATTACAATCTTAAGTCCAAGTCCATCAAAATTCTTTATTTTAGTCTTTACATACCCTACCTCACATTAGATAGTCACATTTTCTCTTAATTGAATCACTTTGTTCGTGTAATAATAACTCCAGTATTGCTTAATTGATTAATAGAACCGATAGTAGCTTTCATGCGGATTGTTCATGTATTAGGTGTTTGTGTCTATTGAGATACGTATTTTCTTAAAATTTTTTATTACTTTCAAACCGAAAAAAACAGAAAAACTGAACCAAACTGACGATTATGTTTTTCGTTTGGTTTGATTTGATTTTAGAAATTTAAAAAATCAACTAGATTAATTTGATTTTGATTTTAACCAATAACTGATCCAAACCAAACCACAAACACCGCTAGTCGAAATAGTAAAAGGCATAGGAAAAAACCTCCAAAATTGCGGGTCATTACCGGGTCGATCTTAGTTGACACGGACCGATCCATTTGACAAGTTTAGGGGGAAGCGCCAAAAGAGAAGATTTTAAATTTCTTCTTGTTTGTGGGGGAGTACAAAATCGAAGAATTCCAAAACCAGACGAAGAACACTATGTCTCCATTAATTTTCCCTTGTCATCTCCGTCTTCGATTATGACCTTCTTCTATCTTGTTCCTAAAATTAACTGCATCATCATCACCATGAACTCTATATAAGCTCCTCTGTTTCCTTTCCACACTTCTCAGCTACTTAAAACAATTTTTTTATTTCTGATTCTAGGGTTCTTCACTCATGGACGATAACGAGCTTCATTTGTCTCCTCCCGCGGTAATTAGTGTGTTTTGGACTTGACAAAAAAAAACATATATTTTTGTTTCTATTGATCTTTAGATCAAATTATTTACTGAAAACATTTTTCCCCCTTTTGGAGGAAATTGCGAAACCTTGTCGTAATACCTTGAGTGAAGTTCTGCCCTTTTATTTCTCAATCAAACATTTAACTTGTCAATATTTTCTAGATCCTTCACAAATATTGATTTTATATGGGAGTGAATTAGTTAGAGTTGAAAAACAGGATTAGATTTGCAAGTAAGTAAATTAAACTATATTGAAAAAAATATAGTGAAAGAGAATAAAATGAGCTTGAAAAGTCAGTTATGGTACAATGACCATGTGAGTTAAATAGTCAAAAACTATGCTATGATCATAAGAATCAAATAATTAACTTCTCAAGTTTTCATTGAACTTCAGTATGCATAACTTGGTTTGCAATTTTTCCATGTCTATCTTGCTTAGCATGCAATGAGAAGGTGATTTTGTGGAGATATTAGGAGCCTCCAGCCACTCTATGCTCCATGGTGTTTGAGGCAAAAATGGAAAAACAAATCACAATCCCATATATTGGACTTTTAAGTTTTCTAAGATTATCTAGCTAGCAAGTTATTAGTTGCAAGTTAGAGTGGGTTAAAAGTCCCACATTGGTTGGGGAATGGATTGACGGTTTGCTTATATAGACTAGAGCAATCCTCCCCTCATGACCTAGCTTTTTGGGATTGAGTTAGGCTATGTGTCAGATTTTTACATGGTACCAAAGCATGGTTCATCCCTGTTTGGGCTCTGTGGACCTGTTTGGGCTTTCGGTCGACGCTTCAGTTGGGTCTGGGCGTGAATGGAGGACGTTAGAGTAGGTAAAAGTCCCACATTGGTTGGGGAATGGACTGACGGTCTGCTTATATGGACTTGGACAATCTTCCTCTCATGAGCTAACTTGGGTGGTGTTAGAGTGGGTAAAAGTCTCACATTGGTTGGAGAATGGATTGACGGTCTGTTTATATGGACTTGGACAATCCTCCCCTCATGAGCTAACTTTTAGTCCATGTGCCTTATCTTTTGCAATGCAAGCTAACTCTTAGGGTTGAATTTTAGGCCCAGGTGCCTTATCTTTACAATGCAAATAGAACAGTATTTTACGGAACACTTGTCTTAGGGGCATACACAAGAATTTGTGAGTGGTATGAACTTATTGTCACAATTAGTCTTGTTCCAAGGTTTTACTTTCAATTCAAATTGTTATTTACTTGCATTATTTTTAAAAAATAGTGTAATGTACATATGATTCTAACAAAAAATATATTTAACTATATATATTTAATTAAATTTCTCGGTGAAGTCATCCAGTATGTTTCCCGCTGCTTGCCATACCGGATGTTGTCTCCATGTAGCACTTGCTTCTTTTCGATTATCTAGTGAAGGTTTTTCTGACACTACAGACTAACTTTGGTTAATGGTACGTTTTGAGCAACAGATGCTACCTCAAAGAATGGAATCAGGAGGTCCTTATCGTCTTCTGCACTGTTCAGGTCTTGGTGACAAAGAGGGAGTGATGCAAGAGCTTGAGAAAGGAGTGGAACCCAATCTGGTTGACTATGATAAGAGAACAGCACTTCATTTAGCTGCCTCTGAAGGTTGTGCAGAGATTGTTGTTTTACTTCTTGAGAAAGGAGCTGATGTGAACTCCACAGATCGTTGGGGTCGAACTGTAAGTTGCACTTATTGATGTATAAAATGAATTACGTACCTTTACTGCCTGATTTGGATTGTTGTTTCTAGCGTTTTTATTGTACTGTACTTTGTAGTTGAAATGATATTTATGTAGACTATATTGTTTTTTTCCATTTAATTTTTTTTTTCGTATTTGCTTCGACTCTATTATACTACTATACAACAACTGATGAGCTGTAAATATTGGATTTATCAGAAATTCAAAACTCGAAAAAAAGATGATTACGGATGAGATAGTAAGGTGGCTAGAAGGAGGAGTACCTGAATCTAGTGGCATGGAGTATAGTATTGATTTCCTCCATGCTATAACTAAAATTTACTTGAAGACATATGGTTCCCGTTTTCTTCTCTTTTATTCTAACAATCTTATTAAGGTTATAGTGTAGGACACTATAGATTGTTTCTCAACAAATTGATTAGTGTATGCTTTGATCGAAATCTGTGCAGCCACTCTCCGATGCCCGTAACTTTGGTCACGAGGATGTATGCAAGATTCTAGAGGCCCATGATGGTTATGATCCGGTATATGTCTTAACCTTTTCTCTCATTTATATGATCACGGCTGTATATGCTCTGAATGGAAATATTGTCGCACAGCATTACTTGGAAACATAATGGGTAGTTTGCTTTTTCTGCTATACACAATTCAAAAAGAAACTATCGTATTAAGATTGACTTGAAAGCTGATGCAAGAGTAACATATTTATATTTTAACTTTTATATTGGCCAGTCACTCAGAGTCTAAGCATCTTCGGTCTTTTTCAGGACACAATACTTTTTAGTAGTGACTTTACTGGTTTAAGTAAACAAGAATGTGTAGAATTTCCTTATAGTCCTATTCCAAGTATAAGAGGGGTTTTTTTTTTTCACAAGTCAAGGTATTATTGATAATAAACTCAGCACCAAGAAAGTACTGAGAGAAAGTACAACAAAACTAGATAAGATTCCCCCAAGGATGTAAGGAATCCATAAAATCTATCATTATTTCAAGATCATTCGAGAATAGCATTACACCAGCTTTTGAAACGATGAGTGCATCTATACTTCCACAGCGAAGAGTTTCTCTTCTTTCTCCTCAAAACATCTTTTGTTCCTCTCGAGCCAAACATTCCAGATATGCATACTGGAGTGCTCCTCCAAATCTTTTCTTCACTTTCTTCATTCGCTGACTTTGGCAACTGCTTAGTACTTGTTCCACATTTGATGGCATGACCCACTGGATCCATACAAGTTAGAAACATACACCAAATCTGCCAAACGAATTTGCAGTGTACTAGGAGATGATGTACTGTCTCGCTGTTTTCTTTGCACAAATAATACCATCCACATAAGCTAAATCCTCTTCTTTGAAAATTTACATGTGTTCCATTAGGTAATTTTTTTAAAAATAAATAAGATTTGAGCTTATATTTAATACTTTTATATTTTTGTATCAATTTGCAAAGGCTTCAAATATTCATACTGATTTTCACTTGAGTAGACTAAAAAAAGACCCACAATTTTGAGATGTTATGCTAAGTATTTTTATTAAGATTTTAAAGTACTATTTAGATTTTCCTGCATAAAACATGCTTCATGTGCTGCCATCCATCCAAAGCAAGCGACTTTGGTTGGAGCTTTAGTAACCCAAAATGATCTCCATAGTCCATCTGTTCTATACTCCTCCAAGCTTCTGCCCAGTAAATGATAGCTCGAGTTTACTGTAATTTACCATACATGTACAAGTTATTCTATTCAAAGAAACAAAATCAGAAAAACCATAGAAATCTCGACCTATAATTGTGCTATGTATATTACATGAGAATGTGTATATTTACATCAGGTGTCTATGTATATCCTGTAACACTCCCTCTCAAGTTGGAGCATTCATGTTAATTATGTCCAGCTTGTTACAAAGATTTTCAACCCGAGTTCCATTCAAAGCGTTGGTGAATATATCACCCAGTTGCTCACATGTCTTCACCTATCAAGTAGAGATGAGGTTCTCTTGAATCTTCTAGCATGCCTAATTATCTCAACAGAGTTTTGCTGGTGACTAGGGCTTCAAACCAATTTCAGCTAAAATGTGATGTGTCCATATTATTTCACATGTGAACTGAGCCAAACCGTACTCTGGTTCTGCCCTGAATTGAAATACAATACTTTGTTTCGTGCTCTTCCATGAGGTTCCCACCTACAAAGACAATAGCCTGTGGTGAATCTTCTGTCAATTCTAGATCCAATGCCAAACAACATCTACGAAACACTTAATATGAGTATGCCTATGGTTGTTATATAATATGCCAAGTCCAAGAGCTCCTTTAAAGAAACACAAGATATGTTCCAAGGTTGCCTTAGTGTTTGAATCTAGGTGATTTTATGAGTATTATTCTGAACCATGACATTCTATGAGCCATCCTTTGTCTGTGAGAATGATTGTAGTTTGAATTCCAACTCATTTAAACTAATTCATGTGAGATAATCTTGTGATCAGCTAGCTTTTTAGTTTGAAAAAGAAATAAAGGAAGCTAAGTAACAATAATCCCCAGCAGGAAAAGAGGACAGGCTAAGTCATAAGTATGCCTTCTGGATGAGTTGATGTAGATAGGATCCTTGTCAAAACTGCATGTTCTTTACCACAACATTATCTTTATTTTGGTGGCAGTGTTAGATAATATGAATTTCCGCAAAATGTTGTATCATATTAGTATTTCTTTTTACCTTCATTTCCTTTTGCTTGACGTAGTTGGGTGACTCTGATACACCATGTTGTATGATTGGTCATGGTGAAGTGGACATGAAGGAGGCAACTCTTATTGGAGAAGTAATTTCTCTTACCCAGAAGCCAAGGCAAATATCAACTTGACTATGTTCTTTTAATGTTTCAATTCACTTTATATTTGTTTTGGCTATTAATGACTGTGAGTGCAAATCGCAGGGTGCATATGGTGAAGTTTATTTGGTAAAGTGGCGCGGTACAGAAGTTGCCGCAAAAACCATTCGTGCTTCCATTGCATCAAACCCAATGGTGAAGTAAGTTAACTGATTTTTTACAGAGCTGTAATTTAAAAATCACATAAGCAATACTTTTTTCTTCCAGATTTTGGATTTAATATGATGTAGAGTAACAATAACGTAACTTGATCAACTTCTATTTCAAAAAAAAAAAATGTAGTAACTCGGTCAGCTTGACTTTAATATTCGAACTCATAACATCCATAATTGAGAGCTTCACAGGAATGCTTTTATGAAGGAATTAGCATTGTGGAAAAAGTTGCGCCATCCCAATATTGTGCAGTTTCTCGGGGTTCTAAAGCAATCTGATCGATTGATCTTTCTCACCGAGTATCTTCGAAATGTAAGTCTTGTATGATGTTCAGGAGCACTCTGATGATGTGATATCCTCCTCAGCTTTGAGATATAGGTGTTATTATACGAGTACCTGAGCTTTTAGTCACGGTCGCACTGATATTTCTACAATCGGAAATCTAGGGAAGCTTGTATGACCAATTGAGAAAGAAAGGAAAACTTGATCCACTAACAGCAGTTGCTTATGCACTAGATATTGCAAGGTATAAGGTTCAATGATAAGTTGGCTTCCAATTCAAGTGTTTTTTTTTTTTGGTAATAAAATGTGAAATATTACCATAACACCAACAAGGAATACAAACTAAGAGCATCTAGTCTTCCTGCTACCTTCTAGGAAGAGTGCAAGAAGAACCTAGACCTCGGAAAAAGAACAAAACCAACAGCCTATTCTAGTTACAAATTCTATCTATCAAGCATGGACATTTGCTTGCTTTTCTTGCACAACTAAACATACTCACTCTTTCTTTCAGTTCTCTTTGAATCTGTGTCACTATACCTCCATTATTTACAATTGTTTGCCTGTATACTTTCCAATTTCTAGCCTGCCAAGTATAATATACTAATGCTCCACAAATTGCAGCCACCACTTCTTTTTTGAATTGCCTCCAGTGTCTTCCTTTGATCCATTGTAGACTTTGTTTAAAAACCTTTTGTGGAATGTCAATTCCCATCCATGTTGCTAACTCAGTCCTTGCTTCATTAATCCATTTGCATTCAGCAAACAGATGTTGATCAGTCTCATCCACTCCGTCATCACATAAGCAGCACACTGTGTTCTCTACCTGGATATGCATCCTTTGTAGCCTTTCTTTAGTCAACAACTTGTTTTGATATGCCAACCAACTAATCATTCTCTGTCTTGGTAACATTATGCAATTCCAAATCAGGTCTGCTTCCCTCATTACATTCATGTTCCCCAGTAGAGCATTATAACTACTAGATACTGAATATTGCCCATTACTAGTCAACCTATACACACCTCTATCATACCAAGTTGACATCATATCTTTAAGGGCATTCATTCTTCTCCAGTACCAACTGCTGTCTTGTGATGGTTCATGACTCCAAATATCTTCATCTGCTTTCATATAGATTTCATTTACCCATTTCACCCACAGCACATCCTTCTTATTAGCTATTTGCCACAATAATTTCCCCACTGATGCTAAGTTCCACAACTTACATCTTTTTACATTCAACCCTCCATATTTCTTTGGTTTACAAACAATATCCCAAGCCACAAGTGATATCTTTCTGTGTCCCTCTGAGCTTCCCCGTAAGAATATTCTGCATTGTTTATCAATATCATCCAATACACTTTGTGGTAGAATGAACACAGCTCCCCAAAAATTATATATGGAAAATAGAACTGCATTGATAATCTGTACTCTTCCAGCATAAGAGAGTTGCCTTGCATAACCACTTTTTATCCTACAAGTTATTTTCTCCACCAGCTGATGACATTCCACTTTACTCCATTTCTTTGATGATAGAGGTAGTCCTAGGTATCTTATGGGCAGAGAACCTAGAACAAATCCTGTTCCTTTCAAAATCAATTGCTTGGTGCTATCCTCCATACCAGCTAGAAAGATACTAGACTTGTCCATGCTGGCCACAAGTCCAGTTACTTCACTGAAATGCTTTAAAGCTTCCATGATTCTTTTTATAGAATTCATATTACCCTTACAGAACACCATTATATGAAGCATTACAGGGGTATGGTTTTCTTTGTTAAGTATAGATTGATAGAAGGATGAAAAATTGTAGACATCCTTGCTGATTTATTTACATAATGGAGGAAGTAATTTTTGGTGATTTATTTTCAGCTTGGTGCTTCTCACTATGAAAATGTCTTTCTTAAAAATTAAAAGCAGCAATTTTGTCGTATGTCATAATATATATACTCTTTAAAGCAGCTGTATCCTAAGTTCTTTGTTTGCATTTGCAGAGGAATGAATTATCTACATCAGCTTAAGCCTCATTCTATTATCCATAGGGATTTGACTCCTAGGTACTGCCAGTTTCACTAGCTACATTTAACTCAGCTCATTCGCATCAAACCTATCGGTACTTGTCAATCCAGGGAGTACAAAATACTTGTATCAGTCGGATTTAGTATTTCTGTGCAGCTATCATATCAACTTTCTACTCTTGCAGAAATGTATTGCAGGATGAAGCAGGGCATCTTAAAGTGACAGACTTTGGACTCAGTAAAATTGCACAACAGAAGGATTCTTATGGTTACAAAATGACTGGAGGGACTGGATCATGTACAGAGTATTACTAAGCTAATCTGTATTTTCCTTTTCCTCCGTCAGTCGACTCCTGAAACATAATTATATCCATGTTTATTTAGATCGATATATGGCTCCAGAAGTTTATCGTCGAGAATCATATGGGAAGAGTGTTGATGTTTTTTCATTTGCTCTAATCGTCCATGAGGTGAGTTGAACTTACATGCTTACATTTACTCGAATACAGGACAACACAACTTTCCCCTACCTATAATCATAGTTTATTTTGAAAAAATTCCCTTGCACCTATTAGATGCTGACTTGGTAGTGTGTTCTCGAATATTGCTGTGGGAATTTAGGCCCTGAATCATAAGAGTAATATAGCTAGGGAAACAATCCACACACATTTTGATCATCTTTAATATTAGCATATTCTTGGTCTTGCAACATTAATTTCTTTCAAGTATAAAGTAAAAGGTAGGCATATGCTTCTGCACTACAGATGTTCCTAGGAGGACCATCAAATAGGGAGGAAGCTGCAGAGAAAGTGGCAGATAAGACAGCATACGAAGATTATCGGCCACATCTCGCGTCATACATCTTTCCTGAGCAAATCAAGACGTATGTTATTCAATTATTGCTGTATTTCCAAACCTTACAATTTTTCCTTTTCTGCTAACAAGAACTATGTCTAGGTGGTGAAGTGTAACTGTTATAGTTTGTATTCCATGTGTGTCTAAATGATGCAGGGTACATTTTGAGTTTGAAGGTTTGGGGGAAGGTGAAAATGTAGTATGGTTTTTACTGAAATTTGTGTTTTTTTTTAATTACTTTTGCTGCCAAAATGTGTGCTAATATTGAACTTGTTTGGATCGCAAAGTCTTGGAAATGTTTCCTGATTTGAAAGGTGAAAGAAATCATTTTTGTGAGCAGAATCAAATTTCCTTATTAGCCAAACTTAGCTCCTTCAGCATATGAGCTCAAGTTATATGCACTGACACAAGCTGTGTCATAGAAAACTAGGAACGTGCATAGAGACATAACAGAAACTGACATTGACATTGTGTGCAGGTTGCTTCGTGAATGCTGGCACAAGAACCCTGATCGTAGACCCTCGTTTCAAGAAATAATTGATCGTCTTGAGAAAATCCATGCGACTTTGCAAGAAAAGATAGTCTTGGGAACGTGCTGTAGCTGTATGATATTATAAGTTGAATCATCTGAAGCTGATCTGATATTATCACATATTGCATTTCATTTCTCTGGTTACAAAGGAGCTTCTGCATAGCTCTTTCAGATTTGAAAATACATAAATAAAGTGAGTTTGCAGCAAATTTTGTTAAAAGTTTAACTTGTATACACCGGCGTTGCTACAAGAATTACACTAATATAATTTTACCTATGATAACAACTCATTTACTATATACCGATTGATTGAATATCTATCAAATACGTCCTTTTGCGGAAAATCACATAAAAATTTCACTCTGTTGTGGTAAAAGTCACAATTGTCTGAAAATCTACTTAGAAGATAGCCCGCAAGGGCATGGTTGAGTGGTTGGGAGCTGGTCTCCCACATGTTTGCAAGCTATTGCACAGTGACCAGGTTACCACAAAGTGCTCACCCGAGGGGCAGAGGTTGTGACACAGGTGGTAGGTTCTATGGGTTCCCCAAGCAGAAAAAAAAACTTAGAAGATAGATAATAAAGAATTCGACATGGCTGATTTCCTTTTTACATCTATTATCTATATTGTGTTCAGTGATAATTATTATGTTTATGTGCTATATGGTTTCTGTTTACTTATTTTTAATTTACTACTATCTCCGTCCACTTTTAATTGTCATAATTTCTTTTTTTTAAAGTTAAATTATAATAATTTTGACTAACATTTTACGATGTGTTTTTTCATAATATGCAAAAAAATTCAATACTTTTCGTATAGCTTATGAATATCTAAATTTTTTGTTTAAAATATTGAATTAATGTAATCTAATTTAACTTTGAAAATTAGTCAAATTGACTTTCGAAAAATGCAACATGACAATTAAAAGTGGACAGAGGGAATACTCTCTTGGAACACCCCTTAAGAAACAATAAATAATACTAATAGGGGTAATATTAAGATATTATCATTTGACTTTATTGAGAAATGTGTTAGATAATAAAAAATATTTAATAGCACAAAAGGTAAATATCTCTTGATTTTCTAAATTTGACAAGTATTGTTGGATAGGGAAAGTAACAAACTTTTAATTTAAAAAAAATAAAAAATAATGCAATTTGTGAATAAGCAAATTATAATTTAATATTATTTTAAGTAACATTTGATGGACAAGCAAGTCTGGGTGGTGTAGTCGGTTATCACGCTAGTCTCACACACTAGAGGTCCCCGGTTCGAACCCGGGCTCAGACATTTATTTTCTTTTTTTCTTTTTGCATTCTTTTTTTTCCCCTTTAAATTGTTTAGTTAATTGACTAACACATTCTTTAATTGGTGTATTTATTAGTAGTAGGGTCTTAGGACATTTGACACTTGTATTTTGTATTCATGTTTTTGCCACAAAATGTATATTATATTAAACACAAGCATATAGGGTACGGATTTGATCAAACCAAAGTAATCTTGATCCAAACACTGTATTTGTTTTTAGAAATTCATTTAATATATCTATAAATATTTAATTTAGAACTCAATAATATTAAAAATTATAATTTAGAACTTATTAGTTTCAAATTCTGACTCTACCTTTGACCTCGAAACATCCCCACCCAAAGTTGGTCAAATTAGATTTTTGTATGAGTTGCAAAGCACCGAAGAACACTTGAGTTTAAGATTGATATGCCAATCCTCAACTTGCATATTTTGCATCAAGAAAATAATCAAGGTTGAAATTTGAGTAACAAAATGAAGTATCTAGTATACGATGAATGTTATAATCTCTATAATATAAAATATTTCTTTGACTCTTCCCAATAACTTGCCCTTTACCCTTTATATTTCTTAATTTGAATCCCTTCTATTCCCAACAAAACACAGACAGAATACTTTAGTTTCCTTATTACACATCTCTCATTTATATATATTTGTTATATTTAGAATAATAATTCAGAATTGGAGTAGGAATTTTAAGTTGTCTAGGATTTGATTATTTTGGTATTTATTTATGAGTAACTTTCACATATAGCAAACACAAAAATCATATTTGTATGTTATAGCTATAGTTTGCATAATTGCGCTCCATAGCAAACATAAATATATATATTTCGCTATACATATACAAAAGAAAGCAGTTGTATAATTTCGCTATACATATACAAAAGAAAGCAATTGTATAATTTGCTTTGGTATACATATATATACAAAAGATCAATTGTATAATCTGTGTTTGTATAAAGCAAGAAAGAGAGAAAGACAAAAGAAAA